AACTAAAAATAAAAATCTTAATAATAAAGGAAACTTGTTGTAGAGTATATAAGAACTCTGTACTACCTTCACAGTTTTTTGGTAACTCTAAAACTGTTTTAAAGTAAAAAATTCATTTTAAAAATAACAAACATCCAAAACAAATCAAAGATTATGTGAAACAGATTAAGAATAATGACATTAAATTTCTGTGCTAGTTTGGGTCCTCCAACATGGAGAGATTTAATGGGGGAAATAAAATATCTTTGAGGAAAGTGGCGAAGAAGCCAGGTGGAGGCTGTGTAACCATCAATGTGCTGTCCTTGAATAAGCTTAGGCAACTGGAGCAGTTAACTGAGTAATCTCCTGACTCCCAGGGACAGGTCTGCTTTAATGTCACCATCCTGTCAGACTAGGGATCCTGGGAGGATCATGGAAAGCCTGGGAAGATGGTGGGAACCTAGGAGGATCGCAGGAGCTTGGAAGACCTTGGAAAAAGCTACAAGGATTGTGAGAATCCTGGGAGGACTGTAGAGATCCTGGGAGGAATGTAGAGGTCAGGGAGGTCTATGGAACCCTGCATGGATCATGGGAAGGCTGAGAGGATCATGGGAAATCTGAGAAGATTGTGGAAAGCCTGGGAGGATTTGGAGAAATGTGGGAGGAATTTAGGAGCCTGGGAAGATCTTGGAAAACCTGGAAGACTGTTGGAACTCTTGGAGGAACATGGGAAACCTGAAGATAACTGTAAGCAGCCTGGAAGGATCTTGCGAAACTTGGGAGGACTGTGGGAATTCTGGAAAGCTCATTGGAAACCAAGGAAGAATAGGGATCCTGGGAGGACTGTGGGAGCCTGGGAGGGTCATGAAAAGCCCAAGAGAACTGTGTGAAGCCTCAGAAGTCTATGGGAAGCCTGGGAAGTCTGTGGACAGCTTGGGAAGTCTGTGGGAAGTCTTGGAACACAGTGGGAGCCCAGGAAGTCCATAGGAAGCCTGACCTCAGCATGTAGACAAGGATGGCCTTCAGAGTAGAGCAGCTGCCAGTTATACACCCATGTTAGAGATCTGAGAACATGATCATGACCAGCACAGTCCATTCTGTCGCCATTACAGATGCTTTTCTCCACACGTGTCTGGAGGGGTGTAGAAATCCTGGGCGAAATGTAGAGGTCAGGGAGGTCTATGGAACCCTGCATGGATCATGGGAAGCCTGAGAGCATCATGGGAAATCTGAGAAGATGGTGGAAAGGCTGGGAGGATTTGGGGAAATGTGGGAGGAATTTAGGAGCCTGGAAATGTAGGAGCCTCTGGGATTTTGTATCAGAGGGAAACTTTGAGGAAAGAGGTCAGTGGAGGAACCACAGCCCTGGTTTCAGGGCTATAAATGGTTCTTATCCTCTCCCTCCTCAAATATCTATTTCAAACTTCCCCTGCTCCCATCTGGCATCTTGTTGGGACTCGGTTGCTGACCTGGGAGTATGACCCAAGACATGTATTTCTAAAGTGAGACTTTTCTTGGCTTGAAGTTGCTATGCTTGCCTGTTTGTAGTTACAGTGGGTGAGGAATTATCAGGAGGCAGCCTGGATCACCTGTACTTACTAAATTCTTCTCTGACCTTATTGTCCACAATCACCCTGCTTCCTGCTGCTGACCAGGGTTAATTACCTCTGACGTATGGCGTAGTCATGGCCCCAAAATTTAACAGCTTAAAGCAATAAACACTTATAATTTTATAGTTTCTTTTAGGTCAGGAATGTAGGGTCCTCTGGCTCAGGGCCTCTCATAAAGCTGCAGGTACCTTAATGCTTAACTCATTAGACTTTTTTTTTTTTTTTTTTGGTACTGAGAATCGAACTCAACACCTTCCCCTTTCCAAGTAGGCGCCTGTGCTGTTCAGCTTATCACTGACCCTCATTATACCTCTTTAAGGGCTCCTCCATGACATAGCAGCCAGCTTCCTCCATGGTGAATGGAGAGGGGGAGCGAGAGAGAGAGAGAGAGAGAGACAGAGAGAGAGAGAGCTGCCTTCTTACAATCCAGTATTTCTGAAGGGATGTCACACCGCCTCTGCTCTATTCTGTTTGTTAGAAGTGAGGCATTTTTATTGTTTTTATTTTGTTTTGCTTATGTCTGTGCATTTGTTAGTATGTTTTGGTTCTTTTATCTTTAAAATAAAAAAGAGAAGTGAGTCAATAAGTCCAGGGAAGGGGTTTACACAGGGCATACAAGGACATGTGGGTCAGTGTGGGTCATCTCTAAAGCTGCCTACCACAGAGAGTGACTCCTCGTCTCACCTTCTGGTTTCTGGACATCTGCTTCCATGTGGTGCAGGATCTACCATGAGCAATAGAACCCTTGGTTTTGAGTCCATGTTTTTTGCCTGCTTTATTGTGAAATGGGTTCCCTGGTCAAATGCAAAGCTTTGCGGGATTCCATGCTGGTGGGTCAAACATTGCAGAAGACACTATTGCTGAAGAGAGATTTGTCTTTTGGGGAGGTTGCACTACTGTAAGGGGGCAAAGGATCAAATGTAGTTGATTTATTACCAAGTGGTGGGTTGTTCTCTAGGAAGAGCAGTGCATCAGGATCTCTCAGAGTTGCTCGTAGATGAGACCCTCAGTGGCCTTGGTGGCTCTGTCACTCCATTTTAGTGGGAGTCTATGTTATGGCCTGGCGGCCTCTTCATTCAGTGTGGCAGTGCCAGGGAAGGCAGTGATAGAAGCCTACACAGGCTGAGTCATTCTGCTTATTTGGCTGCTTGGTGTCTCACTGATGGATGATTCTGGTGAGAGTTAACATGTGAGATAAAAGCATTATATTGGTTTCCACTTCCGTGTGTATCCGTCTGGTTTTCTAAAGTTTATCTCCCACCCATTGAGATGCATGCGTCTCAGTGAGGTGGCAGTATTCAGTCCCCTCTTGCTGGTCCCTCCCAACCACTATGATGTCACAGGTCACTGTGATGTTCTTCTATAGGCTTTTAGGTGATTGAGGTGAGTTAACATGCTCCTAAGGCAAAATATAAATTAACACGTCCTTCATCTTATGAGAACTCACACTGTTCATAGTTCTCTTTACTGATTAAAGCGGGAAGGAATATGTATGCTGGATCTGAGCCTGTATAATGTGCATTCAAAGCCTTATTAAATTGGTCTAACAAAGGTACTATTATTTAGCCCAACAGGTATGACTGTGTGTTCTACTAGATTAATACTGTAGACTTAAAGCAACATAAAGTTGCTTTCTCAACCTATCAGTGAATCTTTATGTTCATTTCTATGGAAACAAATATGCATGTTTTCATACAAACCCACATACAGAGATTATACACTGCTGTTTAAAAGAGAAAGCAACCAGTTGTTTCATGCAATATGAGAATAGCATCTGTGTACATCGCCTCCTCTTCCTCATATTGCTGAATCCCAGCAACACTAATCTGTGCTTATCTCTATAGTCATGTTATTTTGTAAATGAAATATATACAGAATCACATAGTACTTAGTTTTTTTTTTATTGTGGTAAATACATTTAACACAAAGTTTACCATTGTAATCATTTTAATGTGTACAGTTCAATGTCATTAAGTACATTTAAAGTGTTATGCAGCCATCACTATTATCTTTTCCTAAAACTTTTTATTCAGGTATTGTGTAGATCTGAAGTAGTATTTCCTTGTTGTTTTGATTTGCAACTTCTTAATAAAGATGGCACAGAGTATCTCTTTATGTGCTTATTAATTACACTTATAGCTTGTTTGCTAAATTATCTGATCAGGGGCTGGGGATTTAGCTCAGCAGAAAAGAGCCTGCCTGGCAAGCTCAAGGTCGTGAGTTCGGTTCCTGGTACTGGAGAAAAAAAAAAAAAAAAAAAAAAAATTATCTGATCAGATATTTTGCCCATCTTTAAATCACTTTATTTGTTTTCTTTCTGTGGAGTTTTAATGTTTCTTTGCATATTTTGGATATCAAGTCTTCATGGAACATATGTTTTGTGAATTTTTTCTCCCAACCTGTGGTTTGTTTTTTTGCAAGGAATAAATTTTTGCCTTTAATAAATTCCACATAATTTTTTTCATGCATTGTGTCATTGATGATGTAATAAAGAACCTACCAGTAATGCCAACATTACACAAATTTTTCTTTTATGTTTTGTACTAGAACTTTAAAGTTTTGCATGTTACACTTACATCCATGATCTATTTTGAGTTAATTTTTGTGAAAGTATATAGCCTGTATCTAGTTTCATATTTTTGCATGTGAATGACCAAGTATTCTAGCACTAATTGTTGAGCCAACTGTTGAAAATGTTATCACTTCTCAATTGAATTACTATTACTCCTTTGTCAATAGCCAGTTGGCTGTACTTATGTAAGTCTATCTTTGGCTTTTTACTCTGTTCCATTGAGCCATGTATCTATTATTTTGCCAATACCAGGTTGCCCTGATTCTATAACTTTATACTCAGTATTCAGTTGAATAATAAGAGTCTTCCAACTTTGTTGTTCTTCAGGATGTGTTTGATATTCTAGATCTTTTTGGCTGTCTGTTTAATCTTTAGAGTCATGCAGTTGTTGTGTGAGATGTGTAACTGGAATGCGTTTGATATCTCACTGAATTTGTAAGTCAAGTTGGGAAGCCTTGTTGTCTTAGCAATAATGAGTCTCTTGACCCATGAACATGGAATATCTCAACAACACGGTCAAACAATGGAAAGTAATTGACATTCATGAGACATTTAACCCAACAACACCAAGATCACACATTCTTTTCAAGTACCCACAGAACATTCACAGAGTATCTTAGATCAGGCTGCTATAACAAAATACCATGAACTGAGTAGTTTATAAACAACAGAAATGTATTTCTTACTGTTCTGGAGCCTGTGAAGTCCAGATTAAGGTGCTGGCAGATTGGGTGTCTGATGAGGACTTGTTTTCTGATTTGTAGGTGGTGCCTTCTCCAGTATGTAGCAGGGTCTTGGCCTGGCAGTTAGGGGGTGGAATAGGGAATGACTGTGCATATGTATAGTCTCCAAATTCTATAGAAAGAGTTCTAAAAACTCTAGAATGTGGTGATGTTTACTCAATTCTGTGAATATAGTAAAACTGAAGTGAGTGTATGTTGTATGTGAATTATATTTCAATCAAGACATTTTTAAAGAAATACATGACATATTAAGATAAAATAATTATTAAAGCTATCTGATAAAAGACTTATATCTACAATATATTAAGAGCTCTTTTAACTTGGTAAGAAGACAAACAATCCCACTGATGAATGGGCAAAATATTTGAAAATATATTTTACCAAGGAGATACATAAATAACTAATAAGCACATAAAAATGACCTCAACACCATTAACAGTCAGAAAATGCAAATTACAACCACAGTGAGGTATTACTGTACATCTTCTAGAACGACTTTAATTGAAAAGACGGAGAACATCCTGTGTCACTAGAGATGTGGTGAAGTTAGGACTTGCATATGTTGCTGGAGGGAATGCAAAGTGATACAGCTACCTTGGAAAACTATAATTTGGTAAAAAGTTAAAGAAGGACTTAACATAAAACCTAGCATTCCTCCTACCACAAGAAATGAAAATATATATTACACAAAGCCTTACATATGATTTTCTCTATAACTAGTATAAGTATTGGAGGCTAGGAAGTCCAAACTGGAAAAATCATAAGGTGCATCAGCTAATGAATAGCTGTAAACCTATTAAAAATCATTGAGAAGTGAAACCAAGTTAATGCTAAGTTCTTTAACTAGAGAATAGCAGGTTATATAGGTTTGAATGTCTATACAATAGCCAGTTGACACTAACCTTTCAATTAAAATTCTAATACATCAGAATCTGTGGTTTCAAATAATTATTTTTCTTCCTAAATTAAATTCCTTCTACATTTGTACTCATAGAATTACATTCTTTTGTCAAAAATGGCCTTACAAGTCAAGTAATCCAACTACCCTTCTAGTCTTTGAATAACATGAAATATCTCCATAAAGTGGCCACACTGAAATAGTCATTGCTAAGAGAATACTGTTGTTTATCAAATCAAACCATTTCTTTTTGTTCTGTATGAACAGTGAGCAAATCCTTCCATACATGGAGTTTGAATAGTCCTCATGTGACTTCTCACCAGTTCTTTTCTGTATAAGCCATGAAAATCGAGTATAATTCCTCCTCTACATTTTTGTAAATGTTTGACTATATCCATCATTTCTCTTCTGTATTTTGGTCTTTGGTGGTGATTCCAAAGCATGCATAGGGAGCAATTACAGAGTCTGTGGCAGTCCAGCCAGTGGATGGTGAAAGAAAGATGTTCCACAAAGTAGAGCAACAATACAGCTTAGAGCATAGTGTTTTATGTGAGGACTTAAGGAATTTGGCTCAGGGAAGAAGCTTCTTTTAGTGTTTTAAGCAAAAACCTAAACACCTTCATCAGTGTTTGGGTTCAAGCCTGCAGGGAAAAAAAACATACAACTGGCTAGGTCCCAGAGAGGTCAAAATATTGTGTTTTTTGATCAGGACAAGGGAAAAAAGAGAAGACCTGGGGGAACCCTAGCGATTATCATTTAACATTCCTTATTTCTTGATTAAGAAGACTCTTGCAATCAACCTTTTAAAGGCTTCTTTTATTTCTGTGTTCCGAAGTGTATATATAAGGGGGTTCAGCATTGGTGCAATGATTCCATAGAAGAGGGAAACCATTTTCCCCCGGTCTTTGGAGCTAGGTGAAGGTGGCTGCAGGTACATGGAGATGGCGGTACCATAAAAAAGTATCACCACTATTAGGTGGGAGCCACATGTCCCAAATGCTTTCTGTCGGCCTTCAGCAGACTGGATTTTCAGGATTTCTTGGGCAATAAAAGCGTATGATACAAGGATGAGCATCATGGGTATCAGATGAAAGAGCACACTCACAAAGAAGAGCTCGGCCTCACTGGCTGTGGTGTCCACACAGGACAATTTGAGTAGGGCGGGGACCTCACAGAGAAAGTGATCTATTACATAGGGGCCACAGAGTGGCAGCTGGAGTGTGAGTGTGGACAGCCACACTGAGTTGCTGAAGCCGCTGAGCCAGGAGGCAGCCGCCAGAGCCTCAGAGCCGCAGAGCCTCAGAGCCGCCAGAGCCTCAGAGCCGCCAGAGCCTCAGAGCCGCCAGCTGCAGGCAGAGCCTCTGGTGCATGATGACCGAGTAGTGCAGAGGCCGGCAGATGGCCACGAACCTGTCGAAGGACATGACTGCCAGCAGGACACACTCAGTTGTCCCCAAGGCCAGAAACATGAACAACTGGGCCACACAGCCCCCATAACTGATGACTTTCCTAAGGCTGTGCAAATTCACCAGCAGCTGTGGAACTGTGCATGTGGTGTAGCAAAGGTCCAGCAGTGACAGGTTGGTAAGAAAGAAATACATGGGGGTATGGAGTTTGGAGTCTAGGTATGATACTAGCATAATGGACAGATTCCCCAAGATGGTCAAGATATAGGAAACCAAGAAGACCACAAAGAGCGGGAACTCCAGCCGTGGTTGATCTGAGAAACTCAAGAGAATGAACTCCTCTATGGTGCTCTCATTTACACAATTCATAGTCAGTGGTTCAACTACTGGTTTCCTAAAAAGTCCAGGAAGTCAGTTAACACACATTTATTAACTATTTCAATCACTTACAATCATTTTACTATTTGAAGACATTTACAGGACTGATATTGCTTATAATATGAAAAGTACCTAGTTGAAAATGTTCACAATTACCTAAGCATTTTTAAAATTTAAGCTTTCTGTATCTGATACCCATACTTCAAAAGTTAAAGCCAAAATTTAAAAAGTAAATTCCTGCCTTAGACAGTTTTATATAATTTGTTATTTGATTTTTTGTCATTTGGTTAATCTTTGCTTTCTTTCCACATACATAACTATTATCAAGAAGAATAGATCATAAAACCTACCAAATTACTTTTTATATTTTAATTGTTCAATGTCAAGATTGCAATTAAAATCATTTAGACTACTCCAAGAAACTTACGTGGATAGGATCTAGCAAGCTTTCAGACACATTTCAGAGGAACATATCTTTTGCCTTTTAGAGGCATTTCAGAGGAACATATCTTTTTGCCTTTTGCCTTTTACATATCTTTCTCATGTAATTGAAATAAAAAGACAACAGTAACCTGATATTTAGAGACAGAATAGAGTTTATTCATGTCCCTACTATATAAGTGATTAATTTTATTATCCTGGGGATGTTTCTTATTTTCTATGGCTTCAAGTTTCTTAAGTATAAGTGAACATGATAATGCCTTCCATGTATAGCAGTGTGAGGTGTAGAGAAAAGGAATTCGTCCACAGCCTCTGAGGTCTTCAGGGAGGAATTGCTTATGACTTTCAGAACTTGAAGTGTCCTAGAGTTACCAACGAGAAACTACTTTGAGAATTAAAAACTTACCTTCCCACTCCTTCCACAACTCCAGAACTTTCCACTTCAACAAGGGAGATGTGAAGAATAAATGGGATGATTTATGTAAGTTGCTGAGCACAACGCCACATAGTAATGTGAATTTAAGTGTGACGTGATGGGGGTACTCTGAGCTGTTCAAGGCAGAAACTGTTCAGAGCTCTACATTTGCTGGAAATATCGATACAAATGAAAACCACCAGTCAAAATCTCATCTACCTCCAAGTCATCTACCTTACTAACACTACCTTAGGTGAATTTAGTGATATGAACCTAATTTTTGAATTATTATTCAATGGGTATTTTGATTTTATCCATTTATTTTATAGTTTTCAGTGGCAAGGAAGTGGCAAGGGAGTCTCATAGTCTGTCAAATGTCCCCTTGCTATGCAACTGTCAATTAAATGAAGTATGTGATATAAATATAAGTTCAGGTATCGATATGAATACACAAGAATACCAAATGTTCAAGGGCAAAACCAGGTTTCTGAACATGAATTTAGCATGTTTTCATATAAAGAAATGTAACCAATATCAGTTTTTAATTTTGTTTCAAATTACCTGGAAATATACAGGAGGATTAAAAGCTGTTATTTCTGGGGAGTGGAAATTGAAACAGAAAGTCAGATTTTAATATTTAAGCTTACCTCCATCATTCCATTCTTAAATAAACAAATATAACACTTTTACTATGAAAAATTATCAAGTATTATATAATAATAAATATAATGCAAATCAGAGGGCAGTTGACTATAAAGATCAGCATTGCTTTAGAATTTAATACTACAAAAACAAATGTTATGCGAATTTAGCCTTTTTTGTTTTAATGGATTCTTAAGACTGAATCTGAAATAATCTATACAGACATGTTTTAAAAGTTAGAGGGAGCATTAAGCATGTTATTGGCAAAACAGAAGAAAGAACCAAAAACAAAACAAAACAAAACAAAAAAAAAGGGGGCTGGGGATTTAGCTCAGCGGCAAAAGCGCCTGCCTGGCAAGTGCAAGGTCGTGATTTCGGTTCCCGGTACCGGAGAAAAACCAAACCAAAAACAAAACAAAACAAAAGCAAAACAGAAGAAAGGAAGGAAGAGAAGAAGAAGGAGGAGGAGGAAGAGACAGAGAGAAGAGAAAGACACACACACAGAGAGAGAAATCATTCATAAAAGGAATTCTGCAAAGCAGAATGGGATTGCTTAGGAGATATTTTCAACTCACATGAGTTGCTCAAATGTTGGGAGCTGTCCCCAAGTCTGCACAACTAGGTGACAGCATGCCTTGGTTCATACCAAATATTGCTGTCTTACTCCTGCTGTTCTGACATACTTGCTAATTGAACGCTTTCATCCTTGAAAGTGCTGTTGTTTGGATGATGTTATAAGGTCACCCTGTCACACTGAAGGGTGAAATACATTTTGATTGTTGCTCAGGAAATACGTCATTACTGAGGACACTGAATGTTCTTTTTCCTCTAACCCACAACAGTGGTCTCCTGACCAGCCCTAGTTCTGGCATTTCTCTTTTAGAATTCTGCCCAAAGACTGATTTTCCAAGAAGCCCTCGCTAGCTGAAATTACAGAAGAAGGAATCATTCAATTTCTCACTGAGGTTCAATAACTTAAAAAAGCTTATTTTGCTATTATCAGTGTAATGCATTGGAAAGGAGTGCAGTCGTGGGTGAGGTCCTTCCCTGGCCCACAGCCGTCAGGGCATGAAGTAGGAAAAGCAGCAAGACTGAGAAGGGCGGGACGAATAGCGAGGTGGTCAGAAAGCACTGCAGGACACACCCGGGAGCCGGAAGGCTTTCACCTCTCAAATTCTGCATCGCTCAGATTCCCCTCACCTTTCAAGTACCCTGCAAGCTCAGTGTGTATCGAATGTAAAAAACAAGACATAAGCTTTTCCTTTTTTTTTTTTTTTTTTTTTTGGTTTTTCTCCGGTACCGGGAACCGAACTCACGACCTTGCGCTTGCAAGGCAGGCGCTTTGCCGCTGAGCTAAATCCCCAGCCCCTAAACTTTTCCTTTTGATGAGCTCATAGCAATTAGTAGTATCTTGGGTGTATATATATATATATATATATATATATGTATATGTATTTATTTTAATATGCCTATATTGTTTGATTAAGTTTTTGTACCTATATCTTGTAATGTGAGCAACTACTTTGAAGACAACAATACACAATGTACTAACCGTTGTTACTTTCCCACAGTCTTGTTTTGAAATTTTATGCCATTATTTTTATTGTTTATTTTTCTTTTCTTTAAAATAGAAAGAAGAGACGGAGTCCTTTGGATTAAAAAGTTGAAATATTGTAGTGAGAAAGCTCCTCAATGAATTGTTGTTCTTATCTCTAACATAGCGCGATTATTTACCTGATTACACCTGGAGTCTGCTCCTCAGCTGCTGAGAAGAACTCTCTTCGCAGCACTCAGAGTATTATTCTCACCTTCTCTCGGTCCGCACAGGAACATTAACAGCACGGCAACTGGGCTGCAACGCCGGGAAGGAGGAGTGCGTTTAGAAAGCAGCAGCTGAAAGGAGTTTTAGCCCTTTTTCCCTTTGCCCTTCTGCCTGTTCCTGCTGCTACCCTTCTGTGACCTTAAATAAACATAGCTACTTACTACATACAAGAAGGAAGGAAGGAAGGGAGGAAGGGAGGAAGGGAGATAGTTTTAGAATCTTTTTCTACACTTGTATGTGACTCTGGATATTTCAGCTGCCTTGCCCTGATAAACACAAACTCTCTCACCTATTTGCCTGAGTGACGTTATATCTGCCAACTTCATACTAGAAGGTCTAGTTCCTTGGCTGAGATGGGAGGACTCAGAGTGATGAAGTCCCACAGAATCTTGGAACTGTCCATTAAAACTGTTATTGTGGAAAACATATTGGGATTTTTAAAAAGATGACTATAGCCAGGGTTAGGATCCTGATGCTCAGGCACTTACTCAGTGGCTTTGGAATGCCCACTCATTTTCTGTAGCTCTGCAGTTTTATGTTTTTCACTCTGTAAAAATTGTTTGCTTCTATGTTTTCTCAAATTATCGTGCTTCTGTGAATGTCCAGAAAGCTTTTAAACACTACACCAAACTCCCATTTTCCTGCTGGATTATTAATATGGGCAATTTTGTGTGTGTATAACAGTATAACTTGACTTCAAGTATACCACAAAATTTGCTAGTATTTTTCCCATTTCATGAAGATGAATCTTGCAGCCAGAAGTCTGACTTTAGGTTGAAAGAAATTATTTTCACTACCTAACGGATGGAGGGTTAGAACTCAAGTGTGCTCTGCTTTAATGCTTTAATTTCCAGTAGAGAGAACAAATAAATGCAAAAGCACACTGCAAGTCAAATGCAGAGAATTAAGAAGCGGAGGCGGAGTCACATTCTTCTATGTGACATAATGATAACTAGTCCATAAAATGAGTGCTCAAAACACCGAGACTTCAGTGAGTTCTCAGTACATTTCAGAAAAGTCTTCTACATACATTTAAGCCCTAGCAATAAGGTGATTCCAAGAAACTGCAAACAGGACTGCTTAGAAGTATATAACTACAACAACATCCTCAGGAGCATTCAGTTGCAAAGCTAATAAGATAAAGCTTTTCTATTTTTCCTTATTCCACTCCTGAATGGTAAATTATGAGATTTCCACTTAGGATTAACTCAGAAAACCTGAGAATAAAAGTAAAGTACTTCAGGTGACAATAATGTGTTTCCTGGTGTCATACAGGAAAGTGTTAAAGCACTGCTGCTCTTTTCAGGACTCCTTCAGGTTTAAAAATAACTAAGGAGGAAAGGGAACTTTATTAATGCTGGTCATACTCTGCCTAGAGTAATCCCATGTGGTTGATGGCAATTGATACCTATGGGAAGAGAGAGGTAGGAGATTTCTGTGACATGTACTTCATTTTCCACTTGCATTTGCTCCACAGTAACCTTTATCTTGGGATATTTCTCTAACTTTTTCCAAGACAAAAGGGAATGATAATAAGGTCTAAAATATTTTGTCAAAGAAAATTTGAATTCTGTGTCATCCACGTGGGGGTTAGCTTCCTTTTGTAAGAACAGGAAACTGTCCATTTGCTCTGAAATTCTAGCTGAAGTCAATGCTTATATTATAAAACAG